TATATTTAAAAAAGAAATAATCAGAATATTGGAGTACGGAACGCGTTGAGAGATACTTTTTGGCAGAAATGCGCCTGTACGCGTTTGACTACAAGTTTTTTAACTTAGGTATGTTCCACGGCAGAAACCAAACTTGAGTTTAATTCGAAATGATCCTCGAACAGCTAGACAATAATGGGTCGTGTAACAAGTAGATAGTAACAAACGTGGGTGCAAGCTAATATATGTACATTTATATATATATAGATATAGTGGTATGTTGCTGCATACATAGGTAGTGGATAGTTCGTCTAGAATCGAGATATATTTATATCAGCAACAACTAACAAGTGAGGCACAGCGGTTTTTTTTAATAAAAAGAGAACAAATAAAGGTCCGACTGATAAATTTTTTAATTTTAAAAATACCGAACCTCGTCGAGTCTTCAGTCGTCACAACAAGTCTTCAACAGATCAAGTCCCTTTTCTCTCTTGTGTGATGTTGTTGTGGAATGTAGAGTCTTGTTATGTACATATGTATTGTTCCTTTTATAAAAAATATTTATAGCTGTTGTTCTTGGACTTGTTGTGCGGGACTGCGAGGCCACTTTGTGCGAAACGCCAGTCTTCGAGACTTCGACTCTTCTGGCCCTGGGCCCTGCTGGGGTCGTAAATATGAAATATCTGAAAAGTCAAAAGTGAAGTCTCACACTAATCCTTGCAGTCCACATATATAAATAATTAAATATACTCGGCCGTGCCTACTTGGTCTCGTTTTGATTTTCGGATCGGCTTGTGGGACTTGAGTGAGCTGAGTCTTGTGTTCGGAGAATTTGTATAAAAAATCCAGAAGACTTGTTCGGCACTTTTAGCGCATTTTAAAAAACATTATGTTCTTCATTGTTGTGGATAAAACGCCAGGGTTTACTCAGGGTTTACTCAGGGTTTACTCAGGGTTTACATAGGGTTTACTCAGGGTCTACATAGGGTTTACTCAAGGATTACATAGGGTTTACTCATGGTTTACATAGGGTTTACTCAAGGTTTACATAGGGTTTACATAGGGTTTACTCAGGGTTTACATAGGGTTTACTCAGGGTTTACATAGGGTTTACTCAGGGGCTACTTAGGGTTTTACTGTGATATCGCGAGCATCAGCTCATATTTATTTACTTCACAGCCTCTAAAAAGACACGAATCAGCTAGCAAACAGAATCACGTGCTAATTATTTACGAGGCTTTCTCCGACGTATCATGCATATTTATCAAGTACCAACCACCAAGTGTTCACATTATTCATCAAGTATCATGAAGGACTATAAGGGTGTTTTAATCACCGGGGCCAGCAGTGGAATTGGAGAGGCCATGGCCATCCAATACGCACGCACGCACGGAGACAAGGTGTTTCTCGCCCTGACTGGCCGCAATGTCATACGATTGCAAAATGTCAGAGACACTTGTGTTAGTTACGGTGCCAAGGTACGATACATATGCTTGCCCGCGCATTTTGTATCTTATGCTCGGTACAAGTGTTTATACATTTATCGACATAATAATTGCCAATGCGTTTTTATTTACCTAGGCCAAATGTGAGAGCAGTTGAACATGCAACTAGCGCGTATGTCTGATATCACATCTCCCAACTGCTCCCGCTTTTCAGTCATTTTCAAAACTCACAAACAACTTCGCACGCCAGGTCAATTGTACTTTTTAAAACCGACGATTACATATAACGAATGCTCGTTTCTCCATGTTGCAGATAACATATAACGAATACCCGTTACTACATGTTGCACATGTGTACATGAAAAATCATAGTCTGGCACACCAATTGGAAGTGATTGAACCTGATAAGAATATTAGACAATGGGAGACTTCCTATTCAGCCCCTGCGTACAATAGACCATCCCCGCCCCATTTTATATTCTAAGTTGCTTACGCAAACCTCGCTCGCACGTGACTACATATATGTCTGTGCATGTATTTTCATTTCAGCGGCAATTTACAACAGGTTGATCAAATTTTGTTATGCTCTACATTGCATCTACAGGTGGAGATTGGTATATTCGATGTATGCGAGACGGAAACGCTTCAAAAATTTGTGCTCAGAATGGTCAATGACTACGATGTTGACGTCATTGTAGCCAACGCTGGTGTGTCAGAGGCCACGCTGAAGCGCACTACATACGAAGAATCATGGAAAGACTTGTTCGATGTTAATGTAACCGGTGCTATGAACACAGTCACTCCTGCTATTCCTATTTTCAAGAAAAGAGGTAGAGGGCAGCTCGTGGTCACAGCCAGTCTGGCGTCTTTCTATCTCTATACAGCTTATGGTGCATCCAAGGTGTGTGCTATCGGTTGATATGCCCTGTCACAAGTAACAAGAATTCGATTTTCACACACGCACATACACACACATATATATATATATATGTGTGTGTATACAAATATATATATATATATATATATATGCATATATATATATATATATGTATTTGTATATGTATACATATTTACATTTGTTCATATGTATACCAACATACATTTTTATATATACATATATATACTAATATACATTTATATATGTACATACATCTATATATACACGTGTATATAAATTGAATGTACATATAGTAAAGGTTTAT